CTGTTCCCAAAAGACTGTATGTTTGTACATATTTGTTTCCCTGCTCCTTCTCACATCAAACAAGCATACAAATACACATCTGCCTTTTCTTGCTGTTCTGACAAGATTACTCATTTACAAGCCATCCTCAACACTGCCTACTTATCAAATTTCTAGGTTAAAGTCTCCTTAACAGTGTTTTTCACTGTGACGATCAGCTTATTTTAACATGTTTTTCTGGTAGACTCTTAATCTTTCTTCCCATCCCACAAAAAAATGCGAAATACGGATCAGAAACTGTTGTCTTCATCACTGCTTTTCTTCTGTTTGTCTGTCTTGGTTTATCAGGTTCACGTACACACATTACAGCAGGTACAAATACTCTTCAAACAGCTCCACGAAAGCTGAAAACCCACAGAGGGTTTTCACCACCTCCCAAACAATCTCCCCATACCACTTCCCAAATTTGACAGCAAGCAAATAACACAGACTGCATAAATTCTGATGCCTGAGAAGCTCATTCATTATTCCCTCCCCCAGAGAAGCACTGAGACCCAACCTTATAAACACTGAACAGTGAGATCTCACTTAGCCATATAAACAGGCTTATGGTTTACACAGAGACTAACAAAACCATGGTGGGGCTTGTAACACCATCACTGCCTTCCCTTACCCAAAATATAAGCTGAGCAGACTAATAAAACATAAATGTGATACTGACTATTTTAGCTAAGCAATAATGGGCCTGCTTATAAAATTAATCATATTAATTTCTGCCATGCATGTTACCTCAGAGTCTCTCTACCATAATTTCTTACTTCCATTCTTTCTTTTTTTTCACCCCCTGCTTCTTCACAAATTTTTCTTTTAGGATCTCCTTCACTCCACAAGTAACACCAACCAAGATCCAACCTTGTTACTTTCTAGTGCTAGATCTTTGCTTTTCTTTTAGAATAGTACACAATCCAACTCAGTTCTTTTTTAACTGTCACCACACTTTGATATTTCATGACACAATCCACCTTAAGTATACAATTATCTACATGAGTGTACAAATGCGTATTTCAAGAAACAGACCTATGCAGTCTAGGCCTGAATGCAATCACAGCAACCACTTTTGTCAGAAAGACTAAAGCCTATGTGAATATTGTTTTTAAAGAGAATATCTGTATGAAAGTTAGGTACCCCAACAGCACCATATCACCATTACTACCTGAACTGTAGAGCATGCTGGAGTAACTTCAAGTGAGAACCTGCTGTTCAGTATGTCCCTGCCCTAAACCACATCTAAAACAGAGTATCTGCCACTCTCTCTGTCAAGAGACTTACTGCACTTCAAAAAATACACCAAAAAAATCAAAAAAGAACACAGAGGAAAGATATGCAACATCCAAAGCAAAATACAAGGAAGGCATATGTAAAAGAGAAGACAGAAATAAAAAAAGTAAATCTGTTTAATATAGGTAAATACAGGATGTATTAGCGATGCAAGATTAAATAAAAATATTTAGCAATCTCTAGATTCCTGAAAGGACAGAATGGATACACCTTTCTGTAGACCAATCTATGATTTACTTCTGGTGTTAAAAACAGAGATGTTAATTGACTATTAATTTATACATTCTGTGTTTTCAACTATTAATGTAACACACTTATGCAACTACTGCATTAAATCTACTGGTTAATACAATGGCAGGATGCTTAAAACTTACTAAGTTTAATTTGGTTTTAATTAAAACTCAACTTTTAAAGGCTTTAAAATTTTATTCAGAAATTATAGGCCTCAGGAACATGAAAGAATCAACTGAAGTCACTCACTGAATAGTGTCCACAAAAGAGGAAACTGTATCTAAATATTTGAAAATAAGCCTTTTCTCAAAGAGATTTTGTATTTATTCATTACTTTTTTTTTTAAAATGAGACCCAACCATACACACGGTATGTTTATTATGATATATAAACTTGCCTGCATTAAATTTCCAAGTTGTTCTCTTTTCCACATTGCCCAGGAAACCTCTTTTTTAGCATGATACTTCTTAAGACAAAATGCTTAGCAGCACAGGAGCACCTACTGACATCTCAGTAATATTTCTACCAGGAATAACGATGCTCTTAAAAGAAAAGAAAGGATAAACATTCATATGTCAAAAAATTCTGAAGATTTCAAAGGGACTACTCTCAGAACTGCTTCTTCCACCTCCAGTGAATTTCTGGCCAAAGAATGTAGTTAATATATAAAATTCATAGACCACCTCTCCCTCTCCTAATACACCTTGACTCCAAAAAGACTTGCTTCTTGAAGCACAACAAGACAATCCAACCACTCTTGCAATACCCCTCCAGAACTGGCAAACTCCCAATACTCAGAGGGTGCTCACAGAATCTCCCTGTACCTCACTTAAAGCACTAGGCTGATTAACAGCACATTAGCTGCTTGGCAGTATTTGCCTGTGCACAGGCAAATAGGCTTACTCCCATTAAGGGAAAAAGACACACTTCCAAGAGTGGCTGAAGTGTTAGTTGTAGTATGGCTTATCACCCTGCATCCTATTTAGCCTTTCAGCTTTCAGATCCAGTCATTATTTTATCTCTTGACTTCTGTAATCACAGAAACACTAGGCTGGAAGAGACTTTCAAGATCATCAAGTCCAACCCATGCCCCAACACCTCAACTAAACCATGGCAGCAAGTGCCGTACCCAGCCTCTTTTTAAACACATCCAGGGATGGGGACTCCACCACCTCTCCAGGCAGATCATTGCAGTTCTTTATCACTCTTTCCATAAAAAACTTATTCCTAATATCCAACCTACATTACCCTTGGCACAGCTTAAGACTGTGTCCTCTGGTTCTGTCAGTGGCTGCCTGGAGAAAGAGACCAACCCCCACCTGACTACAGCTACTCTTCAGGGAGTTGTAGAGAGTGATAAGGTCACCTCTGAGTCTCTTTTTCTCCAGGCTAACCAACCCCAGCTCCCTCAGCCCTTCCTCTCAGGTCTTGTGTTCCAAGCCCCTCACCAGCCCTGTTGCCTCCTCTGGATGCACTCAAGCGCCTCAACATCCATCCCAAACTGAGGAGTGAGAACTGGACACAGCACTCAAGGTGTGGCCTCACCAGTGCTGAGTACAGGGGAAGAATGACCTCCCTGCTCCTGCTGGCCACACTGCTCCTCATACAGGCCAGTACAGAAGGTGGCCTTCTTGGCAACCAGGGCACACTGCTGGCTCATGTTCAGCTGGCTGCCACCAGTACCCCCAGGTCCCTTTCTGCCTGGGCATGGTCCAGCTGCACCATCCCCAGCCTATAACGCTGCAGGGAGTTATTGTGGCCAAAATGCAGGACTCGGCATTTGGACTTACGAAACTTCTTGTTAGACTCTGCCCATCCATCTAACCATTTCAGGTCTCTCTGCAGAGCCTGCCTACCTTCCAACAGCTCAACACACACTCCCTGCTTAGTGTCATTTGCAAATTTACTGATGGAAGACTCAATACCCTCATCCATGTAGTCAATAAACATACTGAACAGGACTGGCCCCAGCACAGAGCCCTGAAGGACACCACTGGTGACAGGCCACCAGCTGGATGCAGCACTGTTCACCACCACTCTCTGGGCCCGGCCATCCAGCCAGTTCTGAACTCAGGAAAGAGTGCTCCTGTCCAAGCCATGAGCTGCCAGCTGTTCCAGGAATGTGCTGTGGGAGATGGTGTCAAAGGCCTTGTCAAAGTCCAGATAGACAACATCCGCAGCCTTTCCCACATCCACCAGGCGGGTCACCTGGTCATAAAAGGAGAGCACGTTGGTCAACATGACCTACCCCTCCTAAACCCATGCTGGCTGGGTCTGATACCCTGGCCATCCCGTAGATGCTGTATTGATGACACTCAATATTAACTGCTCTATTACCTTACCAGGTACTGAGGTCAGGCTGACTGGTCTTGTTTTTGTGAATGGGTGTCACATTGGCCAGTTTCCAGTCATGTGGAACCTCACTAGTGAGCCAGGACTGCTGGTAAATGATGGAGAGAAGCTTTGCATGTTTATCTGGGACCCTGGGATGGATCCCATCTGGTCCCATAGATTTATGAACACCCAAGCAGCTCAGCAGTTTTCTGACTGCCTCTTTCTGCATAACAGGGGCACCATTCTGCTTCCTGACACCAGAGGACAGTTATCCCAAGGCTTCCCACTAAAGACTGAGGCAAAGAAGGCATTAAGCACCTCTGCCTTCTCTTCACCAGCAGTTACAAAGTTCCCTCACACATCCAGTAAAGAACAAAGGATGATCTTACCCTTCCTTTTTGCCATAAATATATTTGTAAAAACATTTTTTGTTATCCTTCACAAAAGTTGCCAAATTAACTTTGAACTGAGCTTTGGCACCTCTATTTCTTTTTCTATGTGCCCTAGCAACCTCCTTAAATATTTCCTGAGACGCCTGACCCTCCTTCCAAATATGATGGATCCTCTTTTTATTCCTACATTCCTTAGAAACCTCATTGCCCATCCAGGCTGGACATTTGCCTCGTTGTCTCATCTTCTGGCACAGGGACAGCCTGTTCCTGTGCCCTCTAAATCTCTGTTTTGAAGCACATCCACCTTTCCTGAACTCCTTTGTTTCCAAGGGCTGCTTCCCAAGGAACTCTCAGAATAAGTCTCCTAAATAGCCCAAAGTCTGCTCTCTGGAAGTCCAGTGTAAAAGTCTTATTGATATTCCTCCTGATTTCACCAAATATTGAGAATTCTAATTTCATGATCACTACACCCCAAGTGGCAACCTTTGTTGTTGTTATGAGAACATGCAAAGATAAATTGGAATATTTACTTTGTTTCCCAGCTGACCAAAGACAAAAACTTATTTAGTAGCCGACAATAAAGGCAGAATGAAAGAAATTATCACTTTTCATATTATGGAAATTATCCGTGCAGATACTAGCAAGTTACTAGTGTTTAGAGAAGAGATTAAAATATAATGCAGCAGCTTTTCAGTCAATGAAAATAGAGTAAGACAACATGAGTACCTCCTATTTTCAGCCAAATCTGCCCCTTCATCCTTGAGCTCCTTACTCTTCCTTATACAATCTTCTACAAGAACTTCCTTTCTTCTCTTTGCTGCGAGCACCCAGTTACTATCATCATCAGCCGCATCCTTGTCATCCGCAGCTTCTGCTTCGAACTGCTGAGAAGTAGCTTTTGAGACCTTCTCACCAATCTTTCTCTTCCACCCAAAAGAAGCCATCCGTACAACTAGGAAGAATGCATTTTAAGCAGTTAGGTAATTTTGCTTTTGAGTACACAGCAGGAAAACCACCCCTCGCTCATCTCGAAGCTAAAACAGCAGTACAGAGCGGCACTGCCCCACACAAAGCTCAGCCGCTCGGCTGCCCCTGAGCAGCCGCTGAGCACGCACAGCCCTGACACCCCGGCGCTACCTGGCGCTGCCGCGGGCTGCCTCTCCCGGCGGGAAGCGGAAAGGCGGGCGGCACGGCAGGAACCGGGCAGGAGCAGGAAGGAGGAAGGGCGGCGGCCGGGACAGCCGGGACAGCCGGGAGCTGTAGTTCTCCCGGGCGCGGGGCGGCAGCGTGCCCCCGCTCCTGTGCGTACCAGGAGCGGTAGAGAGCGGGGGCGAAGGGGACAAAGCAGCCGGGCCTGGGCTGCCACCGCCCGGGGTGCTCGAGTGTCACACGGGATAGGTGCGGGACGGCCCGGATGGCCCCCGCCTGTACCCACTGCGCCCGGGGACCGCAGCACCCACCCCGGACAGCCGGCTCCGGCCGGGAAGTCCCGTAAGGAGAAGTGACCCAGGCTCTCAAACACGCATTTTTCCTCTAAACGGGAAAAAAAAACACCACCACAACTAGAACACGGAAAAATAAATAAAAAAAATTAAAAAAAAAAAAAAACCAAAAAAAACCCACAAAAACCACCATCCTCCCCCGAAAAAAAAAAACGAAAACCATAAAAAAAATCCAACACAAAACAAAAACACAAACAAAAAAATCTCGACTCCTCCCCCTCCCAAAAATACAAAATAATAATAATAACAATTAAGAAACAACAAAAAAAACTCAAGAAAAAGAGAAGGCAGGGTTTAAAACAGTAGGGCGGCAGTGTTTAAAGCTGGTCCCTACTTGCAGGGACCAATACCGACAGGAAAGCCCCATCTGTGGTGCGAGGGAAACGCTGAGTGAAGATGCGAGAGGAGGTGATGGGCATCACGATAGGGGCACAAAAGACGTGGTCAGTGTTACTTCCGTCTCCAATGCCTTTTCTGCAGCATAAGTTTACAAGACCGAGGGGGAAAGGGTCAGTCGGATCAGGCGAGTATAGCTGGTGCACCAGCCTGTCCAGCTGGGTAATCTGCTGTAATTTTTGTCATTTTGCTGCTTTTTCTATAATTGTAACAGCTGGTGGTTTTAAAACTAGTGTAACAGTTCTTGTCTACTTACATATAACACTAGAAAACGGCAAGTACACAGTTTCAAACAAGATGGTTCAGTATTTCATGTTTACTTAGTTTTTAGTTTTGAAAGCTTAAAAAGTTATACAGTTAGAAACAAGCATTTTTGCCATTCAGCTTTGTCAAAAGAAATTAACAGGAAGTAGGCACATCTTTGTTAAAGAACAGGACTTTGTATCTTACAATGGTAATCAACTGGTAAAATAAAATTTAGCTCAAAGTTTGTATTAAACACTCATAGTAAGACAAACATGAAAGGATTTTTTTCTTCATATTGCACCACCAAGATGAATTTTTATCCATTATCTAGTGATTTATATTGCACATGGACAGCCTAGCTTCATCCATGTTACTGAAAAAATTACAATACAAAGACAAGGTAACTCATTGTACTCCAACAAGAGTAAGCTTGGGAATGCAGAGTAACGCACTTTACCAGTTTGTGTATCTGCATAAACTACCTTCCAACTCCGGCAGCTCTAATAGTGAAGTTTCATTTCACAGCCTATTGGGAGCTTCTAGTGCAATCCTAAAGGTCTGCAAGATCAGTAGGAAGAAACTGATGAAGAAAGCAATTTCAACAGCAAGATCTACAAAGCATAGGAAAGCCACACAACAGGCAACTGGGTTCAACTTGGTTGTCAGTGCCCCTTTATACCCCTCCCCTTCCCTATAAAAATCTCAATTAAATCAGAAAACCTTTGGCCATCAAAATTGAGCTACTATAAAAATGTACTTTTATTTACAACTACATATATTGTACACTTCTGCCAGAAACTTGCTTTAACTTTCTGATACCAAAACTAAGGGCAAATCAGGGTTGTCTTAAAGCACAAGAGGGATGAAAAGATATATCAAATTAAGAACTATTTTGCATCTTTACACCTTTCGTGTGCTGTCAGCATTACAAGGACCAGACAGCATTTATAAGTAGTTTAATATATGCAAGTGATCCCAAACCAATTCCAGATGAGGAATTGCTACAATTTAAAAATCTGTGCATTTGTAGTGTTTATACAAGTGCAATACTTAATAATTCCAAAATAAAGGGTAACAAAAATGAACACATTGATTTATTCAGTATATCAGTAGCAATTCTTACAAGACTAAAGACAGGACTTCTTTGTAGGATTTGCAATTGGTCCCTAACATTGGCATCTTAGTTTTGTGTCGGAACTCAAAATGTCCCTCAGACATTTTTAGAGGTTCCAGGCCTCGGTCAGAAGCATTTTAGACCCTGGCAAGCAGCTGAAAACAGCTGTGATTTTGAGTTTGAACCATGGAATGAATTACCAACTTTAAAGGCGGAACAAGCAGTCACAGAGGGTTAGATGATATAGTAAAAGTAGTCACAAATTAGAGGGTAAAATTTTTTAGTATTGTACAGGGGGGTTTTAACACCTGTACAGGGGGGTTTTACTTTGTACAGGGGGGTCAGGAGTTCTAAGATGGAGGAAAGTGGGCCTGATCCTGTTCTTCCTCCTTCTTCTTCCTTACCTCCATGTTCTTGGTGATGTTGGCATTTTTCTATTGGTTTAGGCTAGGGACATACTATTCAACGTAGATGATAGATATTGGCACATTATTGTAAATATAGTACACGTAATTTCTGGTATATAATGTTTGTACCATCCCACTGAGGGGCAGAGCCCCGCACACTGCCCTGCAGGACAGACCTGCGGCAGGGCAGCAGAACTTGTTATAGATAAGCAAAAATAAACAACCTTGAAACCAGCACAGACGAACTATGGCTTCTTCTTTGGCAACGGGGCAGAAAGACAGAGACTTTCTACAATCTCGGAATCACCAATACCCACAGATTCCGACAATTGGCGTCCCTGGGTGGGCATCAGCAAGAAGAACAAGAAGAAACAGCAAACAACCTCCAACCTTCATCAGCAGAGAAAAACAAAAAAATAAAGAAAGGAAGAGGAACAGAGCACAAATGCTCTCGGCAGATTCTGGGAGGAGAGGGAGCAGAAAGCTCAAGATAAGAACCTGACCTTCACCAAGACAGCTCGTCTGGAGGACAGCCAGGAGGAGGAAAACCAGAAGCGCGCCTGGGATTTCTCACCTGTGACCTGCTGGACGATGAACAGTGCCATCTCCGGACTGACCTCGTGGTGACTCAGCTTTTGGTGAGAATGGTTGAAATTAAGAACATGGGGAAGGGATGCTCCCAAGGACAGACAAAAAATTTTTTTTTTCAGCCCTACAGGGCAAGACTTTTACCCATCTGGTAGAGATAGCCTCAAATGAGATGAAAGCTTTGTTATTGTGGGTGCAGTATACTCACCCGCACACAGATGTACATCTTTTGTTTGAGTTAAATTTTCGTAAGGGATCAATAAGCAACTGTATTACCGAGCCACAGAAAAAAGAAAAAAAAAAAGATAAGACTGCCGCAAAAACTTTTGCCTTCAGCAAGGACAATAAGAGTCATTTTCACAATGCGGCATTTTAGACTAAACAGCTAAGGCTCCTATGGGAGCACAAGGAGGAAGATGGCCCAGCCAGCAGCTTCGGGCAATTTTCCTCACCAGGGGAAGCAAATTGCCTCCCGAAGAGGATCAGGGGGGGTGGTGTCCCATCATGTCCTGTGTCCCCAGGTTCACACTATTCCTCAAGACTCCTCAAATCTCAATTTCTAAGCTCCTCAGCTGCAGAAAATCCCCAGACAGTGAGACAAGCTAGGCACAGACGCAGCCCTCGGTGGGGGAAAGGACTGGCCACTGTCCGAGTCCAAACCCACAGTGGGGGGGCAGTGGCGCCGGCGGCTCCTGGGGGGAGGGTGCAGTCGTGAGTGCAGAGCGGAGGGAAAAGTGAGAGAGAGGAGAGAACTCTCGCAGCTGCGCGGGTGGGGAGTTCAAAACAGCCCGCGGTGCAGGCGAGGGGGGGGGGGCAGTGGGAACCAGCGGACGCAGGAGGCGGCGGAAGCGCGGATGGGGCGGTCAGACGCCCGGAGCGCCCAGTGATGCGTTCCATGATGGGAATCCGTGAGAGTGCGAAAGCACCGTCCGGCAGGTGCCGGGGAATAGCTCCCAATTCGCAGCAGCGGCGCTGGCCAGGCCGGCGGCTGGACGGAGAGCTGGACTCTCCTGTCGCCGCGGCCATGGCAGCGCGCATGCGCGAGACGGTAGAGCAAAACCCGGAAGTCGGAGCGGAGATCTCTTGCATTTCGAACGCACGGGCACGGGCGCAGACGGCGTCGGGGGCGGCGGTGGCCGCCAGCCAGCCGTCCGCAGACTGCGCGGTGGCCGCGGGGGGAGACCCGAGCGGCGCGGGGCCGAGCGGGACGCGGCGCGGGGCTGCGACAGCGCGGAACGCGGCGGCGCGCGCTGATGACGTCAGCAGAGCGCCGAATCGCGCTGGGACCGGCAGCAGCTCGGGGGACGGCGCGGGCCGACCCAGAGCGAAAACCGAGGCAGCGCCAGGCCTGACAGAGAGAATGGGGGGGGACATTCCCGAGGGACGGCCGCGCGGAGCCGGTGTGGGCGGGCGCGGTTGGTGCGGGAGTTCCTTCCCTTGTTCCCATGGCGACACAAACAGAGAGGGTGAATCAAGGCTGCGCATGCGTCTGCGAGAGTTAAAGCGAACGCGGAAGTGGCTGAGAATGTGGGTGCTGGGTTTGGAGAAAACTGCAGGCGCTGGTTCGGCACAGCTGACAGCGGGTGTGAGCACGGAGGGTGTGAGCAAGAGAGAGGGGCACAGCCATCCTAACGCAGGCAGAAGCGGGGTTTGACTGCACCAAAAGTGCTCCCAGTGCTCTCATGCCGCGGCAAACAAAAAATCACAAGAGCCACAGCAAACAATTTTTTACAAGCAGCAAATATCCTGCAGCAATGCTGAGGAATGGGACTCCCAATTTTCACCCTGAAATGAAATTCCATCAGCAGTCGCTTTTTGAAAACCAGCCAACACAAGGCCTTTTTCAAATCTCCCCAATGTTTCTAAACACCAACCCCAGATTTTTTCAGTTAGGTCACAGAATTGATCGAGCAGACACGCCCAGCCGGTGTGATGATAAGTAATAATTGTGGAACACATTGT